AAAAAAAAAACAACCCAACAAAACAAAACAAAAACCATCAATCAATCAAACAAAAACCTCATGCCTGGTGTGTGTGCAGGCATGCCCAAGATCCTGGGAGAAGAATGAAGAAGGGACTGCAGTATGGCCATCCCCCCATGGGGTGATTACTTGCTGTCTCTCTCATGGTCTCTGTCTCTCTGTCCAGTCAGCGCACTATGGCAAAAACCTCTAAAACAAACAAACAAAAAACAAAACAACAAAAAACTTACTGTATGATCAGGCGCATTATTATGCAGTGCATAACTGCAGTTTAGAAAACTTGTAAGCTATAAAATATAACACAAATGCAATTTATGTTGCTGGCAATGTTTCTAAAAACCACTCGAAATTTCCCTTTTCACCTAAGATGACTAGAGAAGAACAAGAAAGGAGTCAGGTGGCCAGGTTCCAGTGCTAACAGCTGTTCATTATAAAAATGATCAGGACCATGGTTGTCCTTGCTACTAGTAACTACAGGAGGAAGATTTTCAGTCTAAGAATAATAATAATAAAACTTCTACCAATTAAGAAAATAAAATACTTACTGGCCAATTGTCAGCCTTTGCTGATCAAAGAATTCTTGCAAAATACTTACTACACTGCCACTAAGTACACAGTACTGGTTCAAAGCCAGGCTGAAGGCAAAAGTTAATTCATAGACGTTTGGGAATCCATTCTAATTAGTAGTTTATTTTCCTCAATGTCTGCAATCACTAAACTGCACTGTGGGCACAATCGCTGCTTTTCACATTAAACCAAAGATAGGTTGTTAAAAATTATTTACGCAGGCTTGCAGTTGCAGGCTTGCAAACATAGCTTTGAATCAGTAAACCCGGACCCTGGGTGGGAATCGCATTCTAAATCTCACATAAGCAGGTTGCATCTTCAGTAAAGAACTGAGCAGGACTGAGAGCATTTTAAAAGCATGACCATATCATAGTCACATAGTAAGGGGTAAAAGAATATAAAGAGTTGAATCTCACACTGAAGAAGGTGTCTTATTGTCTGAAAAGATTACTCCCAGGGTAAAAAACAGGCCAAGTTTATTTTCCCCAACATTAGTTGAAATGTTGGTGCTTTCACACACAGATTTCTGGGTTGAAAGACGCTGGGAGAGTCTCTGTTGGGAACGACAGAACTGACATCGATGTCCAGTCACGTCCTGCCTTCCCCTTCCTCCCCATCGAATCCACCTTGTCAGCACCCGCTCGTAAATGACGTGTCCCAGGCAGTTTCCTCCCTGAGTTAAGGCCAAGAGAACTAGCTCCCAGCACCGTACTGCCCTGATCACTGCGCGCAAGAAGAAATCAGCAAAAAGCAATGTGGCGATTCGGAATCCGTGCGAAACGAGGCGGCAGAGAATAAAACAGCTTGGAAGGGGAGCCGGGAGCCGCGGTCTCTTTAAATTCCTCCGTCGCCGCCCGCGGGGGAAAAGGCAGAAGTACACGTGGCTCTAGCAGCCCGGCCGCCCAGGCCGGAGGAGCCCACGGACTGCGAGCCGAGGGGGCCCCGCGTTCCGGCCGGAGCCCGCGGGAAGAGGCGCAGGGGGCCGCGGCTCCCCGGGCGGTCCC